CCCCCCCATCTGAATGATCAATTCTGTCCAAATGCTGCAATTACAAAGTAACCTGAAGAATTATCTGTTCTGTGGAATAAGCTGAAATCCCAGCATGGCAATCCTAGACATACGCCGTGCTGCGCGCTCTCACCATAGTAAATCTAGAACAACCTGTTGCGTCAACCAGCGAGCCCTGAAATGTGTCATTGTTATTGAAATGGGTGTATGTCAGTCCTGGCAACAAACCATCCCATCCAGGATCTGTAGTGGAGAACATTCTGACAGCTTGGTAACTGAGTATAGTTACTGTTGTCTACAAACACTTTCCTTTTGTAATTCTGACCTGTTACACTCGTCGGCCCGATTCATGGACTCGTCCCTATGATGCACTGCAATGCAAAATCTGACCCGACAACCTAATTGTGCATCTGAGAGGGAAAACTTGTCTCCTCTTCAGTGTTTAATCAGACCTGTGCACGTGTCGGTTTGCTGGTGAGGATTACAGGCTCCAGGGTCACAAATACACAGGAACGATCACATAGACTGAGTATGAGGGAACCTGACCCATGTCTGTGTTGCTGACTTGCTTGATGTCCTCAGTTGTGTTGCAGCAGTACTGATTTCTGTAATGTACCCAGCTATGACGGATCTTACTTGGGGCTGTTGCCGCATCCTTCAGATGTGGAGGGCAGAGCCCTTGGGTACTTGAATGGGGCATTGTCTGGGAGTACCCTGGCATAACACGCTTCTTACTAAAAGACTTGTCTGGGGACTATTTATAATTAAACATGACTGAAGATCCCATATGAGTGGCACGTCTCCAGCTGGTAGAATAGTCAATGTATCTGTGATTTTTAAACTTGGCAAGCAATGTATTTAGGGGTGTTGCATATCTGGCTACATGACCAGTATTGGTATATAGTACTTGTAAATGTTCACTGTAAAAGACCACAAATGCATGCAATGTAAGGATTAATATTTAAAGGTGTACTTATCCTTTTTGCCCTGACCTAACCTCCCCTCCCCCTCTACAGATATGTACTTGCCTAGATCTGACAGCCGCCATACTTTCATAGATCGGACGGCCGCCCCCTCTGGCGCTTTTTTTAGGTGCAGCACCTAAGTCTTCACTGTCCTGTGCACTGCCACCCCCACAGACTTCAGATGGACCCTCACTAATCATCTCTGGCCTAAGGACCTAGAAATCTGTGGCGCTGTAATGCTCAGGACCGTGCAGACTTGCACCGCTGGATGTAAACAAACGCTGGAACTGCAGCCGTCAGATCGGGGTCAGTCTGAGTCGGGATGGAGAGGTTAGGTTGGGGGGACACTCCCTCCTTCAGGAACAGACTCCTGAATTTGTAACCAGGCTGCTCATCACATTAACAAATACGTGACTTTGTGGTGAAGACTCTGTAATGGGCGTCTTGTTATACAGGCAATGGCACAATTGATTTTCCCGAATTCCTGACCATGATGGCAAGAAAAATGAAGGACACAGACAGCGAGGAGGAAATCCGTGAAGCCTTTCGAGTTTTTGATAAGGTAACAGAAAAATCTTGGGTGTTGTCATGACTGATTCGAGGGGAGATGACTCACAATGCTGACGTGTTTCTTTTTTTTACAGGACGGCAACGGTTACATCAGCGCAGCTGAACTCCGCCATGTAATGACTAATCTAGGAGAAAAACTAACGGATGAAGAAGTAGATGAAATGATCCGAGAAGCGGACATAGATGGGGATGGACAGGTCAATTATGAAGGTAAGGATATGAGCTGGTGACTGGTGTTCCCCTTTCCCTTTTTTGGGGTATCGTAGTTCCAGGCGAGGCCGGAGTACCTGTACTTCACACATTCTGTCATTGGACAATTGCTCTGATATTGGCTGACCTGCCTCTGGCCACATGGAGATGAACCACTTTGTCCCCCGGGCTCCCCTTTGCATGTGCATCAGAATCTGATCTATAAAATTGTTCAGATCCTATAGAAGTGTAACCTGGAGAGCAGATGTTGGCAGACTACTGCCATGCAAAGGAAATAAAGGTTCCCTTTTTTTATACCGCTCCCCAAGCAGCATATACTTGCTGCCTTCTTCCCTTCTGCTGTTTAGCTGCTGGAAGTTGTCTTGTGTAAGATGAGGGTCCCTGGTGTGTAGCTTAAACAGGCCTATGGGCTCCCCATGTGACAGAACTGATCGGCCCTATGCTGTCGCATGACCCCCACCCCACACCCAGACGTGCAATTATTTGCTCCAGCTCCCGGCTTTGACTGGGGGATGAAGGGATTATTAAACATGGAGTATGCAAAGCTCGGGTTTGCTTGTAGTCATACATGGATGCCAGAGGGCTCTCTAGGCATAGGTTGCATGCCACCTGAAAGGCTATTGGCAAAATCTTTGGCACATTAACAAAACCTTTCCTGTAGTGCCAGAAACAGCTTGCCTTTTCAGCAGGTTTCACTCTTAAAGGCCATACTCCGCCTACCTGCCATTGCCTGTCCAATTAGAGTTATATTTGTCACTGGTTAGGGGGAGGACACTTGTGTATGGCATAATCCCAGTATAGAACCTGGGCCTTAGGTAATGGTGAAACCAGTATAAGGTACACATGGTGGGGTTTTCTGTAGAGGTAAGAGATCAGGTTATGATTGCAGCAAGTTAAG